TGCAGCAGTGTCGATATTGGTTGAAGTATGACCATCAATAAAGGAATGTTTGTGGAAGATAACATTGTAATTTGTAGCCATGGTGATAACACGGGCAAGGGTGCAGAGTAAACAAGCGGAAAATGCAATTTGGAATTGTTTGGAAATTTTTTGAGAGCATTGTATGACTATTGAATACCTTTTTGTGGCAGCCTCAGATTGTTTTCAGATACATGTTTAAAGATTTTTGGAAGATATTCCTTTTGTGTTTTAACTGGGCTGTTTATAAATTGCATTTTAAGGATGAGTTTATTTTTAGACTTTCATAATGTTGGTTTGCTCATAGCAATTGAGATTAAACAAATGTTTTAGTATTCGTGAGACTGAAGCTCTTAAACCAATGAATCTGAACCTCACTCACTCACTCCATTTGGGGCGGTCAGGTAGCCTAGTGGTGAAAGCGTTCACTTGTCACACCAAGGACCGGGTTTGATTTACACATGGGTATAATGTGTGAAGCCAATTTCTGGTGTAGCCCATCATGATATTGCTGGAATATTGCTTATTATAGGTTGCGTAAAACTAAACTCACTCACTCCTGTGGAAACACCAACTCTCTACTTTCTTGACTGATTCTACTTCCTTGTTTTTTAACCCGTTTGACTGGTACTGATCACAGCTTTATATAGGTTTGTGTAATCCACACCGTTCTTGTCGACCATCTTTAAATAGCCATTATTGCACCAAGACTATCGTGTCAAGGGTAAGTAATTGTTTCTTCAATGACAATAGAACCAAACAGTTAACTGTACTGAAAACTGGATCATGCTTTGAGATGGTATTAGTTACCGAAGCTGATATGTTAGATTGTTAATTTAACATGGAATCTGGTTTCTGGTTCTCAATCACATTTTGTGATTTTAGCTTCCCAGTATGTCAGAAAACGTTGTATTACTTATCCATTTGATTGTATTTATAAGATACTGTATAACACTGTTAATTTATCCAGGAATCTGTTTTCCAGATCTTGATGTTATTTTAACCAAATCATTTATTGAGGGAATTGTGTTATAATTTATACAGGCATCTGGTTTCTGGATCTTCATCCTATTTTGACCAAAATAGTTAACCACGCCAAAGCTCAATATAACTTGTCAACGGCATTCTAAGCACAAAAGATACCATGTAATATTGTTCATTTATTGCCTACGAGGACGAAAATATCTGGGTTTATATTTTTCATACGCTCCTAGGGCAAAATATCACTTTGTCATGGTGATGTGACGCCACTAACAATGCTATGACGCCACGTTTCTTCTGTGACATCGCGTTGTACATACGGCGACGGCGGGTAGCCAGCCTATGTTTGAAGTAGATTTGGGTTTATTTTCCTCAATTTGACGACTTCGGTAACAAGTAGAATATTATATTCGTGCCCATATCATACTATGTTTACGACACTCGTGCCTAAATATCAGTATATCTCTCGCTCTCGCTCGGGAAATACCAACATTTTGGCACTCATGTAGTAAACATTATATTAGTATGACATGGGCACTCATATAACATCCTATATTTATCAAGCAATCAGGTTTCTGGATCTCAATAATATTTTTTACTAAAATAGTTATAAACTTGGATTACACGTCCAGACAATCAACATATGTCCAATGTATGTTGACACCAATGTCCCTTAAGAACTGGCACAATAATAGACTGTAAAAGTAGCATGAGGATACGCAATAGTTACCTGGATCAAATTAATTCCAGTTTATTTTACCTTATGAGTAGTCTAGATCAGGTTGAGTCCTGTTCATCTATTGTCTCTACTTAATGAACGACCAATGAATGACCAAATATGTACAATGTATGGGTGAGGTGAGGTGAAATTGGGTTTAACGTCGTGCTTGCGAATATTTCGCTCATATGACTACGTGCATGCGTGTGTATGTGTATGTGCGGCTGCTTGTACTAGCCCAGACTGAAGCTGGTTTTATAGTGCTAGCCCACTGAGATACCATGCCGCAGTGAAGCATGAATACCCCACTCAGACACATTATACTGACTCCGAGCCGACCAGTCCTTGTTGTACCCATTAATGCCGAGCACCAGGCAGGGACCAACAAGTACCATATTTTAACGTCTTTTGGTATGACGCGGTCGGGGATAGAACCCGCGATCTTCCGCTCTCCGGGCGGACGCTCTAACCACTACACCACGGAGGCGGTCTACAATGTATGGAAGAAGACGTGAGATAGATCTAGTTAGATCAGACATCTGGATGTTTTGTCAAAGGGTTGGCTTATAGAATATCTGATGATTGTAGGTACATGACACCAGTGTAAACATGGTAAGTTAGGTTGACAAGTTTCTCGACAGACCAGGGTATTAATCACACAAAGTTTGTAATTTAAAGCTAAAGACTTTTCAACAATAATGATAACACAAATGTGTTTAGTTGTGGAGAAGGTTTAATGAATATCAAAAACTTTGATTCCCATAGGCATTGCTAAAATTGTTAACACCATTATTTAAAAAATCTGTCCCTGACATTATTGTACAGCTGTGAGTGAATGAGAGAGTTTGGTTTTAATGCCACTTTCAACAATATTCCAGTGATATCACTGCATGTCAGTTTAATGTGTGATGGAGCCTAAGTGATACAGTCTTAGATATTTACACAACCCTTCATTGCAGCCATGAAGATACAGGTTAGAATAATTCTTCTGCAACCCATGCTTGTCGTATGAGGCGACTAATGGGATCGGGTGGTCAGACTTGCTGACTTGGTTGACATGTGTCATCGTATCCCAATTGTGTAGATCAGTGCTCATGCTGTTGATCACTGGGTTGTCTGGTTCAGACTTGATTATTTACAGACCACTGCCATATAGCTGGAATATTGCTGAGTGCAGTGTTAAAAACAAACTTTTATTGGAAACTGCAGCACCTTAGATGACTGAACACAAACATAAATATTTGTGGAGGACCCCCAAACTATTATGAAGAAGACCCCAAAGAATTCTGCAGTTTGACACATTTGGGAGAAAGGGTGGAAATGTCAAAGAGTACCTGTTCCTGTTGTGAAATTGTTCCTGTTATGAAATTGTTCCTGTTGTTAAATTGTTCCTGTTATGAATTGTTCCTGTTGTGTAATTGTTCCTGTTATGAAATTGTCCCTGTTGTTAAATTGTTCCTGTTATGAAATTGTTCCTGTTGTGTAATTGTTCCTGTTATGAAATTGTTCCTGTTGTTAAATTGTTCCTAATGTGAAACTGTTCCTGTTATGAAATTGTTCCTGTTGTGAAATTGTTCCTGTTATGAAATTGTTCCTGTTGTTAAATTGTTCCTGTTATGAAATTGTTCCTGTCATGAAATTGTTCTTGTGTACTACATTTCTCTGAGGAAAGTATTTCCATGGAACAAGGATTTTTTCCATGATACAATTAGACTGGTAGTACTTACTCTTGATTGAACTATTTTCATTGGGAACTCATCATTGTTGACAATAGGGTCCATTTGAATTCCTGACCTTCTTGTGACCCTTTTTCCTAACAGTGGTCATGTCCACAAATAGGGACATTAAACTGCTAAACTTTAACCATCAGTAATGGCATAAATCTTCCTATAAACCAGTATTAAGATAAACAGTTTCAAATAGAGGCTAGCCAACCAAGGAGTTATAATCACTCTGACCTCTTCAGTACAGATGGTCAAGACCAAAACCATTCACACCTCACAGTTCAGTAACACAGGTATTCACCAATGATCCAGTTCCTCAACAGACAGGTTCTACTGCCTTTCCAAAGCTGTGAGGCCACACACCTTCTTAATTCAAGCCATCCAACTGTGAATCCCACTCAGGGTACACAAATCTCTGTTGAAAGAGTTTTCAATAACTGAGATTACACAATACATGTTCACTACAATTACTCGTCAGGTTAGTCCTGCTACACCTCGCTGACCACAGCTGTACATTAGCTATGGCTCAAGGCTTCTTGTAAATACCTAGTTATACAATACAGTCAATCTTTGTTAAAACGTGCAGGGTGACAGGGTGTGTTTTGGGGTCCATTACATTTGTCAAGGCTATATACATGTGTGGTTATCTACAAGATTCTGTTACGCATGCCTCTGACAATGTTTGTTATGCTACACCCGATATATATATTTTGGAGGCGATGGTAAGAGATGGTATTGTTAATGTGATCAGATAAAAATTTGTTACTAAACAAAGCAAAATGATCTCTTTAGTAATGAACAGTTGTCTGAAGTTTATTTTAGGAAAGAATTGATTTTATATTAAGGGCCTTTGCTTCTTTCAAAAGCTGCTTACAAAAGTATGTTGATTTATTCAGTCGTACTGAGGTTGTGATGTGCTGTATAGTTGTTTGTGTTTCATAACTTTGTTCAGCTGAAACCTTTCCTGTTAAAGGTATTATTTTATTTTCCAGTTTCTAGGATCAGTTGATGCCGTCAGTTGTTACACTGTGTAATTTATAAGCAACAAATTTTACTTAAGATAAGTAAAATGAATAGGGCCATTGTTACTGGTTGAACATCTTTTATGGTGTATACAAAATTCAGTTCTGAATCTAAGTCTGTGTGTGACAATTTAGTACATATTATGTAAGGGACCGTTCATAATTTATGGCTTGCAGGGTGATGATGATTTTAGGGGTGTTGGTGGTTTCACCCATTTTATTCTGGGGGTGTCATCAATTTCATACACACATATACTTGGGGGTGCCATTGATTTTGTACATGACATGCAGTGGGGTCACCTTTTCTATAAATTTTAGGGGGGTCAGTGACTTGGTCATTGCTTCTCCATAGAAATCATCATCACCCCCTAGCCATGAATTATGAACAATCCCTTGTTTTTTTCTGGTCCATTTTAAATAACTTAAACTTATGTTCTATTCAATTTATGCTCATTTAAATATGTGAAAGTCATCTGGGGTTATTATGAGAAAAGTTCTGTGTTAACTGATGTTAAAATTTATTTTATTTTTTTTCAGCAAAATTGAAGAAGTTGTTCGTAAGGAGGAAAGCAAGGCAACCATTCTCACTCAGCAAGATGAATTCAACAAAAACTGTTGTATACGCTGTTGTCGTACGTTTGGATACATCTTCAACCGAAAGCAGGAGTGCAAAATGTGTGGGTATAACGTATGCAAGTCCTGCAGCCTGTATGAGGACAAGCTTAAAGGATACTCATGTCAACAGTGCATCAACGAAAGGTTTGTGGAGTTATCCCCCTTTGAACATATTTGATTAGAGTAATGTCCCTTGCGGCAATTGGTATTGGTAATGTTTAAGTCATGTAGGTGTGATTGTATGCCACCATAATCATGGCTGAATTTGAAAAGAATGGGATCTTTTTGAGTTGGACATTGGTTGGAAACCAAATGTGGAAGCACAAATTCCAGCCAAACATCAGTCTTAGATACTTCATGCTTGTTGGCTTTGCCTTGTCTGCACTGGACAGTAAAATTTGTGTCGTACCTTTGAAATGGGTTATGAGTAGAAATATTTCAGAATAAAGTCTTTCCTTAAGTCCAACCTATCAATGTATCTGCATCAAGACTTAAGATGAACTTCATTCCCTTGTTTTGTTGTGGTCATCAAAATCTTGGACCTTTGCTTATCTGAAAAGGGAAGTTATTATTCAGCAGATCTGAGTAACAAGGAGTCCTCATAAATGTAACATGACATACATAAAATGAGAGACAACATCGTGTCCTTAATTCCACTGAGGTCGGTGGGGTAGCCTAATGGTTAAAGCATTCGCTCGTCTCGCTGAAGACCTGGGTTTGATTCCCAACATACATACAATGTGTGAAGCCCATTTCTGGTGTCCCCACCGTGATATTGCTGGAATATTGCTAAAAGCGGCATAAAACCATACTCACTCGCTCACTTTACTCGACGGGGTCAGTAAATGAAATGAAATCTTCTTGTCCTTTAACAGTTTTATATGCAGGTGTAAAATGTCTTTCTGAAAAACCTGTATTTCTGGTTCACTCTTTCTCTACTTTGGCACTGCACAACAGGGAAGGTTTTGAGCCTATTGTCTTAAATGAGAGGCAACATGTTCTTCTATCCACTGGCCCAGGGAATGAAATGAGATTTTGATACAACCCTAAGGCAAATTGATAGTTTTATAGGCAGGTACAAAATGGCTTCCAGAGACTTGTTTTTCTGGTTCACTTTTTGTCCACTTTGGGAATGCAGAACACAAAAAGTCTTTTGTATCTATTGTCTTCCTGTGGGATCAGAAGCTGCAGAATCAGTGGAAACAGGATTGACATGAATGTTCACTGCTTTGTTCACTCAGTGCTAATGCCGCACTTGTGTGATCAAGGCAGCAGTACCTGTCACCAAAACATTCCGAATCAATTAAGAAGTCAAAATTCATGTCCTTCCTTTGTAGAACCACTGTAGGAGTCTCTCTTTCATTGTAACAATTTAATGAGCTTAATGGGTACTATTGTACCCAGAGTGAATTATCCAGACCTTAGGGGCAATATTTGATCCAAAATATACTGCTTATGTCAGTTAAAATTTCAAATTATGAATTAAAAAGTTCCAAGTTCATATACTTTATAGTTATAATGGTGGAATATTTCTGAATGCGGCGCAAAACTAAACTCACTAATGGTGGTTTGGCAGTGCTTGTGTTTTACTGGTGACATTGCCATCAAAGTAGAAGATGCTTTATTGTTCATGTAATGTTAGTATATAATGTTAAGCTTCTGAATTAATCATATGTAGAGTTTTGGTATCCTGATTTGTACCAAAATAATCGTTATTGTTTCACTGTCTATCTCGCCACTGTCACATGAATCTCTAACCCAGGAAGGGTTGATAGTTATAAATACACAATGCGAATTCCAAAGATGAATTTTAAATGTGATATTGACAGAGCAGCTATCTTGTACGATGTTGCCCTCTATTTTTTTAAGGCAAGCAAATCCTATAGTTGGCACCATTGATTTTCTAGTAAACATACAGTCAAGGTCACAATCTCTTGATGACAACATTTAAAAGTACTAATCCATGTTTCCATTATTTTATATTTTAATCATGAAAACTTCTAACCCACAAAATAACACACTTTGACTTAATAATGTTAGGGATCGATGTTGCCTTTGTCCTACACAAACAGCTGCGAAACAAATATACTCATAGAAGTAATGTAAGGGAACACATGAAAGTACAAGTGTTCCTTTATTTATGTCCAGAATTTCACTCACAGTGCAATACATACCTTGTGAAGAAGCCTGGAAAAGAATAAAGGAACAGTTGTACTCTCATGTGTTCCCTTATTTGTTTCCATGAGTATATGCCATGTCTAAGGACCATAACATTTATCAGTCTACATCTCTTCAAACACTTACCGGTAAATTCACATTTTATATTTTGCAATGCATCTCCTAAATTGAAGGATGTCATAATAACTTATTCTGAAATTTCATTTTTACGTGTTTTGATTCAGTTGTAATGAAACGACATTAGAAAGGTTGTTTAATTATCTTTTAACTTTGCCGTATTTTATGTCAGTGGATCAGAAAACCCAATTGCCTGAAATAGCATTCACTGCTTGCTTTACTCCTGCTAAGGGAATATAGTTTCTCACTCACTCACTCACTCCACTTAGTGCATTAACTGGCAGTATTTCCTATTGAAAAGGATGTTTTATCACTCCTTGCTTTATTCATGCTAAGGGAAATATGTTTTCAAACTCACTCACTCACTCACTCACTCCACTTAGTGCATTAACTGGCAGTATTCCCATTGAAAAGGATATTTTATCTTAAAACTGAATAAATGGAAATAACACTAAAGATAAGAGATGCTTGGTACTCACATTTTCTCACTCACTTAATTTAAAACGATTTGTTTATAGTGTGACATTATGTAGCAACAATAAATTGAAATGTCAGTGCAAGGTTTGCCAGCCTACAGTGGCATGGCACAAACATTCAGTATTGATTCCATTCAGAGTTGACAGTCTCCCACTTCCTGATGGGAAAACATTCTCTTGGGAGTAGAAAATATTTAATCATGAGACAAGATGAGGTATGTTTCCAGATCTGACAAGTGTTTGTTGCCATTTTCCCATGTTTGCAGTCACCAGTATGGTAATATCTGCATGAAATTCAGGTGAATTATGACTGACTCCAGTTGTAGCTGAAATGATGAAACTAAAGAGATGGAATGTCTGCATCATCATTACATTGGGGAAGTGTATGAACTGTGTTTGATTGGCATTTTAGAAGATGCTATTTGATGAACATAGAGAATTTTCTGTGTTTCATCTTCTTTTTATTGTTTGGTACAACGTTTCAGGGCTTGTTCTGGCCCCATCATCAGGTAGAAATAACCGTTACTGTTATTTAGTTCTACCTGATCATGGGGCCAGAACAAGCCCTGAAACGTTGTACCAAACAATAAAAAGAAGATGAAACACAGAAAATTCTAAATGTTCATGTATGATCTGTGTTTTTGTATCACCTTCAAATATATACAACCACCATCGTGATCCATTGGTGAGAGTGTCAGACTGAAAGGACTTAGGATCTCTGTTTGTGTCATACTAAAAAGTTGTAAATAAGTTTCTTTCTATGTCTGCTGCTCTGCATTATGGGAAAAAAGAGGACTGGTCAGATTAGAGTCTGTATGCTGCAAAACACATGTGATACATGTAACCACCTCCGTGGTGTAGTGCTTAGAGCGTCCGCCCGGAGAGCGGAAGGTCGCGGGTTCGATCCCCGACCGCGTCATACCAAAAGACGTTAAAATATGGTACTTGTTGGTCCCTGCCTGGTGCTCGGCATTAATGGGTACATCAAGGACTGGTCGGCTCGGAGTCAGTATAATGTGTCTGAGTGGGGTATTCATGCTTCACTGCGGCTTGGTATCTCAGTGGGCTAGCACTATAAAACCAGCTTCAGTCTGGGCTAGTACAAGCAGCCGCACATACACACGCATGCACGTCGTCATATGAGCGAAATATTCTCAAGCACGACGTTAAACCCAATTTCACCTCACCTTGTGATACATGTGGTCTCACCTTATGCAAGTGAGTTTGTTTAAAATTGCCTCTGTTCACCCAGCAGAAAATGGGTACCTGGTGGGATAAGTCATGTGACTATAACCTTCTAGCGCCTAACAAGCAGCTTGGGTAATCTGGGGTAATAATGTTGTGCTGTTTGTGCACGCTTTGAGCATGCCCCTTTGTGGTGTGGAGTATTGCGAGATACAGGTACCCTCATTATCATTATTATTATTATGCTGCGTCTGAGTGGGGTATCCATGTTAAACTGTGGAATGGCCACAAGATCAATTCTAACCAGGATCCTCATGGGTGACATTGGTTTCATTGCAAATACCTATGAAGATCCGGGTTAGAATTGGTCTTCAGTATCCCATGCTTGTCGAAACAGACGACTGATGGGATCGGGTGGCCAGACTTGCTGACATGTTGACACGTACGTCATGGTATCCCAGTTGCATTGAATCATGCTCATGATGTTCATCACTGGATTGTCTGGTCCAGACTGGATTATTTACAGACCGCCGCCATATAGCTGGAATATTGCCAAGTGCAGCTTTAAACTACAAACAGCAAATACAGCAAGAAACATTGTGCCACTCTTGTACCTCGCACTGACTATACGCACTTTCAACCCAGGATAAAAGTAGTGCTCATGCAATATTCATTCATGGTCAAGTTGATTCACATGAGCTCATTTCGCTTCTTTTGTAAAAGGGGCAGTGGGGTAGCCTAGTGGTTAAAGCGTTGGCTCGTCACGCCGAAGACCCGGGTTCGAATCCCCACATGGGTAGAATGTGTGAAGCCCATTTCTGGTGTCCCCCGCCGTGATGTTGCTGGAATATTGCTAAAAGCGGCGTAAAACCAAACTCAGTCAGTCAGTCTTTTGTAAAAGTAGACATGCTCGCATGTATTGGCCATATGCATTCATGGGTGATTGAAGAATGTAGCAGAAACAAACTTGTAAGTATTCACGATGTTAGATCTGGTGATTAAGTAATTGAAATATCAGTGTCTTCCTCTTAGTTAATCATGTTGGATCAGCCATCATGTGAGGTTTCGTAATTATCTGTTTGAAAAGCTTGGTACACATGTTCATGTAACATCCTCTTGGAGCATCGGGGCTGTAGGGTAACCTAGTGGTTAAAGTGGGGTAACCTAGTGGTTAAAGCGTTCGCTCGTCACATCGAAGACCCGGGTTCGAATCCCCACATGGGTACAATGTGTGAAGCCCATTTCTGGTGTCCCCCGCCATGATATTGCTGGAATATTGCTAAAAGCGGTGTAAAACCCAACTCACTCACTCACTCTTGTAGCATCAAACATGCTTGTAGTGTTTATGACTGTTTGTGGTGTACAATGTAATCATACTTTTAGTGTGGTGTAATGTAAGGTGCTACAACTCCTTGATCATCCCGGAGTTGCATCCCTTTGTGGTGCAAGGATCTTCTGATTTTAGGATTAAAATTGCCTTCGCTTTGATCCTTGGTCAGAAGATGATCAAGAGTTCATTTTACACATGATTACAAGTGGTAATCATCTATGTCTTTGTTATTCTTTGTTGAATTGTTGTTCTTCAGGGAAACACCCTAATTATCCCCTCGTGCCGTCTTTGGTTTCTCTTTTGTTTGCTGTCTCATTGATCAATATTCCATCTATACGACTATTTTAATTAATCTGGAAGAGACAAGCAAGTGATTGACATCATGAGCAACATGCATAAGGTACCCATCACACTCAATGAACCTAGAAACCAAGTCGGACCTCCTGATGCACTATTTTGCCTAATACGACACATATGGGTTGCTTCGGATCAATTCTGATTCAGGGCTGTGTTCCACATAGCAATCGCAGCCCGAAAATAAATGTAACTTCTCTACTTGCACGTAGACTTAGGACAGTCGCAACAATGCAATTTCTTTTATGTGTGAGTAAGTGAGTTTGGTTTTAAGCTGCTTTTAGCAATATTCCTGAAATTTCATGGCAGGGGACACCAGAAATTGGCTTCACACATTGTACCCTTGTGGATAATCAAACCCAGGTCTTCGGTGTGGATACCCCTCCAACCCTTCTTTTTGGAAAGGGGCCCTGTATTCTCACTGGGGCTGTATTATAATGTTGTAAATCTTTCTGACATATTTCCTTCTTTACAGGGAGCTGAAGCTGCAGTCATGTGAGTGGTTCTACTGCCATGTAAGCCAGCGCTTCAAGCGGTTCGGCAGCGTAAGGTTGGTGCGATCTCTGTACAAGAGGAAGGGAGGAAGTCAGTGTAAGTCGATGCTGCAGCCCACCGAGTTAGAAACAATCCCAGCTAGTGGATGTAAGTTTGCCCAATTTTCCTTCCCTCCTGCATCCCGTCATTCTGTGCATCGTGCAGGCAGCATGGGGTGTCGTCTTTGTTCTCAGGCTCTTTTTTGTTTTTCCTATTTTGGTTTTCAGGTGAGTCTGTTATTGGTGCTTTTTTGGCTGTCTGTTTTTGTTGCATGTTTTTTCAGTTCCAATCCTCAAAATTACTTCTGTTAGATGCTCATGCTGTTGATCACTGAATTATTTGGTCTAGACTTGATTATTTACAGACCGCTGCCATATTGCTGGAATATTGCTGAGTGCAGCGTAAATTTCACTCACTTGTGTTAGAGTACCATTGGAACAGGGGCATTTTGTACAAAACAACTTTAGCACTAAGACTGTCATAAGTCATTCCTAAGGTATGGGATCTACAATCACCTTAGTGCTAAGATGCCCTTGTACAACGGCACCCAGAGAAATTTGAAACGGAATGATAAAAATATGTTCCTGGGTCCTAATCCACAAGGAGTTTGTTGGCTTACGAGCTGTCGTAACTATATCATTTATCTAGGGCTTACGAATATTATAATGCTTCAAAATGCTTTGTGAATTGGGCCACTAATGCATTAAGTGAACACTGACAAATAGTGATTATTAAAACTGGGATGATATTTATGTATACTACATAAAGTACATGATACATTTTCTTGCACAAAAGTAAATTGTACAAATATGTAAAAAAAGGAGAAAATCTGTATTATATAACTTTTAATTATTGTTATTCATAATACATGTACATGCAATTTTTAAAGAATTTTAGTCTCTCATAATTCCGTATGGAATGCCCCTTATGTAAATATATGTTTAATTAGTTTGTATATATGTATAACAGGGGTGAGACTGCAATAAATATTCTGTCTGTCTGTCTGTAAACTTAAATGTATATACAGTGCACAAAAGAATTCTTTAAACAAACATGGGGATTCAGAAATTAAATAGGATTAAATTTAGCTCAAAGATACAGATGAAGGCTGACATTACAGCCACATATTATGAAGCATCTGCTGAGATGACGTTAACCTAATATACTTTGTTTTCTTGACATTGATGTGTAAGTTTATGTGATAAAATGCACCTTGTATCCATGGACATAAATTAAAATAACATAAAAAAACAGCAAATTAATTTTGTTAGGATGTTGTGAAGGTATTTTTGTAATTATACACTAAATTCAAAAGGGAACAAGTAAACAGATGTGAGAACCCTGTGGATCACTTGAACATAAATATACACAGTTGTCCTAAAGTTGTGTCAAACTTGTTACAGAGTGACAGTGTACGTGTTTGTATGAGATAACTATTTGGTATCAGTGTCCATGTTGAAACAAGTACTTAAAGGTCTGAACAAATATATTTATTTATATATTTGGAAGTTGTCTGACCATTTTATGTTCCAAGAAGAGATCGTTTTGCTTTTTCGTCGAGGTAATAAAAGAGTTCAGCTATATTCTTTTTAAAAACATGCAAAATGCAAATCAGTTAACATTACCAGTATGTATTTAACAGAACATGTTCATGTTTCATGGTTACCATGTTGTTTCCTTATCTTCCTGACAATGAAGTTTGGAATAATTATTTTCATATTTCCTGAATTTCCTCCGCCTCTGTAAATATAGTTTTAATTCATCAATTGTTGAAATATTTTCCACTTGTGACAACAGAATAAAGTTCCTTTTCTCTGTTCTTGACAAAATTATGTTTCTGGTATTCAATTTTGCTGTTTACTGTAGACAAATCAATAAAACTGAGCCACACCCATGCCTTTTGTTGCATTGAAGTGAAATTCATAATATTTAAGAAAAATTTCTCACAATGGTTCTGTAACAACCCACACATCCTAAACCAAACTCTACCCTCTTTTATAATGAGAATATGAAACCTACGTAGGAGTTGCAATGCACAAGCATGTCAAAACAGCCGACAAAGACGATGGTCATTCTTTTCCTACTGACCTTGTGAGACATGTATCATTATTCTCGAATGTCTCTGCCTTTGAAGAAATATTGACTGAAATAAAAGTTATTGTGACTACATTGGATCAGGTTGATCAATATTTTTATTGGCCGATCAGCTGTGTATATCTATCAGTGGAATTATTTATGCCTGTGTTAAGGCACTTTAGATGACAGCTGTAGCATTGTACATTTCGTAAGCAACGCTGTACATTTCACTAGCCCAGTTGTGCATTTCACTGAGCTATTGATGCAGGGTTTCTTTAACAACTAAATCATACCAGTATCGAAACACAGCATGAGTCACTCTTAATGGTGTAGGTACTATGGGGAAACTGTTAATCAAGATTTAATGTCTCCCATATTTAAAATATATTGTTGATATTAGCTTTACCGAATACATCTTCATTGTGTTATTTTTTACTTGCAGTATCTGTTGACTTTGACCTGTTAGAGAAATTTACTTAGTGTTCACAAACACCTCTATACAGAAACAATATATCTTTGTCAAATAAACTCAGCTTAAACTGTAGTTAGTAAAGTACTGGTTAGGAAATCTTTTGCCATCAAAATGTACAAAATAAAGCATTATTTACAAAAATGTGAAACAAATTGCTAGAAAAGTAAGGGAGATTGTCAATGCAATTATAAACATTTTAGATTTTTTTTTTATAGAAAAAATATCTATGAGCATGTTATGATATGTATATTTATGTGGTCATGCTAAATATGAATCAACAAAATAACTTTTTGGATATATGCATCTTGAATTAATTATTTATGGTAACCCATCCTGTTAATTGTGATTGGAATTGAATGTACTCATTGCATGGTGTAATACTTGAGTAGGGGAGGAATATAGGCTCTGCATGGTGTAATACTTGAGTAGGGGTGGAATATAGGCTCTGGATGGTGTAATACTTGAGTAGGGGTGGAATATAGGCTCTGCATGGTGTAATACTTGAGTAGGGGGTGGAATATAGGCTCTGCATGGTGTAATACTTGAGTAGGGGTGGAATATAGGCTCTGCATGGTGTAATACTTGAGTAGGGGTGGAATATAGGCTCTGGATGGTGTAATACTTGAGTAGGGGAGGAATATAGGCTCTGGATGGTGTAATACTTGAGTAGGGGTGGAATATAGGCTCTGGATGGTGTAATACTTGAGTAGGGGTGGAATATAGGCTCTGGATGGTGTAATACTTGAGTAGGGGTGGAATATAGGCTCTGCATGGTGTAATACCTGAGTAGGGGGTGGAATATAGGCTCTGCTTGGTGTAAAACTTGAGTATGGGAGGAATATAGGCTCTGCATGGTGTAATACATGAGTAGGGGGAGGAATATAGGCTCTGGCTTGGTGTAATACATGAGTAGGGGAGGAATATAGGCTCTGCATGGTGTAATACATGAGTAGAGGGGAGGAATATAGGCTCTGCATGGTGTAATACATGAGTAGGGGAGGAATATAGGCTCTGCTTGGTGGAATATAGGCTCTGCTTGGTGTAAAACTTGAGTAGGGGAGGAATATAGGCTCTGCATGGTGTAATACTTGAGTAGGGGAGGAATATAGGCTCTGCATGGTGTAATACATGAGTAGGGGAGGAATATAGGCTCTGCATGGTGTAATACTTGAGTGAGTGCATGGTGTAATACATGAGTAGGGGGAGGAATATAGGCTCTGATGGTGTAATACTTGAGTAGGGGAGGAATATAGGCTCTGCATGGTGTAATACATGAGTAGGGGAGGAATATAGGCTCTGCTTGGTGTAATACTTGAGTAGGGGGAGGAATATAGGCTCTGCATGGTGTAATACATGAGTGGGGGAGGAATATAGGCTCTGCTTGGTGTAATACTTGAGTAGGGGAGGAATATAGGCTCTGCATGGTGTAATACATGAGTAGGGGGGAGGAATATAGGCTCTGCTTGGTGTAATACTTGAGTAGGGGGTGGAATATAGGCTCTGCATGGTGTAATACATGAGTAGGGGAGGAATATAGGCTCTGCATGGTGTAATACTTGAGTAGGGGGGAGGAATATAGGCTCTGCATGGTGTAATACATGAGTAGGGGAGGAATATAGGCTCTGCATGGTGTAATACATGAGTAGGGGAGGAATATAGGCTCTGCATGGTGTAATACTTGAGTAGGGGGGGAATATAGGGAATATAGGCTCTGCTTGGTGTAATACTTGAGTAGGGTGGAATATAGGCTCTGCATGGTGTAATACTTGAGTAGGGGTGGAATATAGGCTCTGCATGGTGTAATACATGAGTAGGGGAGGAATATAGGCTCTGCATGGTGTAATACTTGAGTAGGGGAGGAATATAGGCTCTGCATGGTGTAATACATGAGTAGGGGAGGAATATAGGCTCTGGATGGTGTAATACTTGAGTAGGGGAGGAATATAGGCTCTGCATGGTGTAATACTTGAGTAGGGGAGGAATATAGGCTCTGGATGGTGTAATACTTGAGTAGGGGTGGAATATAGGCTCTGCATGGTGTAATACTTGAGTAGGGGTGGAATATAGGCTCTGCTTGGTGTAATACTTGAGTAGGGGTGGAATATAGGCTCTGCATGGTGTAATACATGAGTAGGGGAGGAATATAGGCTCTGCTTGGTGTAATACTTGAGTGGGGAGGAATATAGGCTCTGCATGGTGTAATACATGAGTAGGGGTGGAATATAGGCTCTGCTTGGTGTAAAACTTGAGTAGGGGTGGAATATAGGCTCTGCATGGTGTAATACTTGAGTAGGGTGGAATATAGGCTCTGCTTGGTGTAATACATGAGTAGGGGAGGAATATAGGCTCTGCATGGTGTAATACATGAGTAGGGGGAGGAATATAGGCTCTGCTTGGTGTAATACTTGAGTAGGGGTGGAATATAGGCTCTGCTTGGTGTAATACTTGAGTAGGGGTGGAATATAGGCTCTGCTTGGTGTAATACTTGAGTAGGGGAGGAATATAGGCTCTGCTTGGTGTAATACTTGAGTAGGGGTGGAATATAGGCTCTGCTTGGTGTAATACTTGAGTAGGGGGTGGAATATAGGCTCTGCATGGTGTAATACTTGAGTAGGGGTGGAATATAGGCTCTGCTTGGTGTAATACTTGAGTAGGGGAGGAATATAGGCTCTGCTTGGTGTAATACATGAGTAGGGGTGGAATATAGGCTCTGTGGTGTAATACATGAGTAGGGGAGGAATATAGGCTCTGCTTGGTGTAATACTTAGTAGGGGTGGAATATAGGCTCTGCATGGTGTAATACTTGAGTAGGGGAGGAATATAGGCTCTGCATGGTGTAATACTGAGTAGGGGGTGGAATATAGGCTCTGCTTGGTGTAATACTTGAGTAGGGGAGGAATATAGGCTCTGCATGGTGTATTAGTAGGGGAGGAATATAGGCTCTGCATGGTGTAATGGAGTGGGGGAGGAATATAGGCTCTGCATGGTGTAATACATGAGTAGGGGAGGAATATAGGCTCTGCATGGTGTAATACTTGAGTAGGGGTGGAATATAGGCTCTGCTTGGTGTAATACTTGAGTAGGGGAGGAATATAGGCTCTGCATTGTGTGTAATACTTGAGTACAAAACTTGGAGTAGGGGGAGGAATATAGGCTCTGCTTGGTGTAATACTTGTAGTAGGGGTGGAATATAGGCTCTGCATGGTGTAATACTTAGGGGGAGGAATATAGGCTCTGCATGGTGTAATACTTGAGTAGGGGAGGAATATAGGCTCTGCATGGTGTAATACTTGAGTAGGGGTGGAATATAGGCTCTGCATGGTGTAATACTTGAGTAGGGGGAGGAATATAGGCTCTGCTTGGTGTAATACTTGAGTAGGGGGAGGAATATAGGCTCTGCATGGTGTAATACTTGAGTAGGGGGTGGAATATAGGCTCTGCATGGTGTAATACATGAGTAGGGGGAGGAATATAGCAAGTAGGGGGTGGAATATAGGCTCTGCTTGGTGTAATACTTGAGTAGGGGTGGAATATAGGCTCTGCATGGTGTAATACTTGAGTAGGGGTGGAATATAGGCTCTGCATGGTGTAATACTTGAGTAGGGGTGGAATATAGGCTCTGCTTGGTGTAATACTTGAGTAGGGGAGGAATATAGGCTCTGCATGGTGTAATACTTGAGTAGGGGTGGAATATAGGCTCTGTTTGGTGTAATACTCTGAGGGGGGTGGAATAACTTGAGGGGAGGAATTTAGGCTCTGCATGGTGTAAAACTTGAGTGGGGTGGAATATAGGCTCTGGATGGTGCAGTAGCTGGGTGGGGTGTGTGAATATACTGAAGTGTAAAAGGTTTGTGATGGGGAGTGAATGAACTCTTAGCATGATGTAATAGTTGGGAAGGTGAAGGGGTGAGGTGTTAAACGTATGTATTATTTGCATGTTATAAACATTGTAGAAATTGAATAAATGCGTTCTTGTTATACAAAATGTAGAAGGGTGATAAATGTATTGTTTGCATGTTGTAAAAGTTCTTTGTATGGTGTGTGTGTGTGTGTGTGTGGGTGGTGGGGGTCTCTGAATGTACTGTGTTCAATGTACTGTTTATGGTTAAAGTTGATTGGATTGGCTTTAATATATACACTGTGTTGTGTTGGAGGGGAGTTGAATGTAGTGTTTTTATGGTGTTATAAGTGAGTGGATTGGCTTCAATATATACACTGCATTGTGTTGGAGGGGGCGTTGAATGTTGAATGTAGTGTTTGCATTTGTAATAGTTACAATCAAGGTTTTCTTGAAGCTTCACAAAGGGAATTTCACGTGACAAGTTATCAGAAACATGACACCTTCATTTCCTACCCTTGTTATTTTATTATTAATAGTCACAGATAACAACACCTCTCTGGTTGTGACTTTTTGCAAATCAATATTGTTGTTCTCTTGGCAACATGAAATATTCATTGTGAATGAGGGCTAGAATGTGCCAGAATGTTACCATTGTGCCTCCTCTAGCATGGAATCTGTGTTAATTGTATGAAATATTCACGGCGAGCATCTGATACGGCATACACTGAAAGAATGTGTGTTGGCAAAATAAGGGTGGAAATTTTGGGTTTTTTATATATCACTACAGGATACAATTTTATCCATGTTTTTCTTTTTGACTCATTGTATCCAACACTGAAAATATTCCTAATGTTGAAGATGGTAGTTTGGTTCATAAGATGCTGCTTGTAATGTAAGGGTGATAGGGGGGTCTACCAACAAACATGAGCATTTGGGTATATGAGTTATCTCCCTTGATGTGTTATTTTTAGTATGTACTGTTCACAGTTTTGCTTTTATGATTTTTCTCAAGCAGTTTTACCTTTTCCTTCTTTTCTAGTTTTTCTGACTTTAATGTTTGCGCACTATAATTATAATAATATATTTATTTCTGTTATGTAGTTTATTCTGAGTGTAGGATTAGTTCAGTCCAAATTTGCCTTTGCGGAAAGTTTAGGTTGGTGGCATATTTTTGAAAAGGATCAAAAAGAATTAAATTGCCATTGAAATAATCACAGGAGAAAATAGTATGTCTTAAATCAAAATAGTATTCTTGGAACTGTTAAAATATGCAATTTTAAATCTTTTCGTATCAATATATCCAGAGTGTTAAATTTTCGTTCACATTCGTAATTTTCCATATATTGTAAATTTATCAATATTTTATTATTTAAAATCATTTTTACAAGTATTTTTGACTTTGTGTCAGATAGTTATGTATATGGTATTGGAACATAATCATTTTACTTCATAATGTCACAAATGTTATTTTCACATAAAATTTACAAAGCTACATATTTACTGTAAGTTTCCTAAATATTTTGAAATGTATAATACACTGTAACAATGGTCAGGTCAATGGTCAGTTCAACCAAGTGATCTTATGTTACAGCTGACAGTGAGATGGACAGTGGCTATGACCCGTCCCAGTTCAACTCCCTCCAGCAATCCCCCGTGAGGAAGCGTCCCCCGCTCAAGGGAGTCTTTGACGTATATGATGATGAAGGTATGTGTTCTATATCTTACAGTGTGTATTTCCAGTCCTTTCATTACCATATTCACTCAGAGTGAGTGAGTGAGTTTAGTTTTACACCCGCTTTAGCAATATTCCAGCAATATCACGGCAGGGAACATCAGAAATGGTATTCACTCAGAACTGGGGTGACGGGTTAGCCCAGTAGTTGCAGTGTTTGCTCATCACACCTTAGTCCTGGGTTTGATTCCCCCATATGGTGTCCCTCACTGTAATATTGCTAGAATATGGCAAATTGGGGCGTAAAACCCAACACACACACTCACTCAAAAGCTTGGGAATTGTCTGCTGGTGACGTGCTTGGAGAAGACGTACAGGTAAGAATTCTTGGTGGATGTAAAGTGTGTTCCCAGTTGTCCAAATTCCTCAACTTTTCAGGATTCCTGTTAAGAATTGGTCTCCAGGAAAAGATGCTGGTGGGACTGTTTGGTCAGAGTTGATAGCTTGAGCGATGGCAGCACTAAATTCAAGTCACTCACTTATGAAAACTGTTGAATCTACTCACACAAGCAAACTCTGTGGCAAGCAAACTCTGCTTGTCTTGTCTTGGCAATTCTGGGTTAGATTTGGTACCAAACAACATATTCTTGTTTCCCCATGGCAATTCTAGGATGGAATCAGTTCCCATGTAATTTCTTCCTAAAAATTGGTTCCCATGGCAATTTTGGGGTAGAATTGGTCCCATGGCAACCTATTCTTTATGTGTAAGCTAACAAAATGGATCTGGTGTCATGACTTTGTTGTTCTTTCTGTGTTATCACACCCTAGCATGGGGTTATACATGCTCATGATATAAATCACTGGTTTGTCTGGTCAAGATTGATTAATTTTTGCTGTCATATTGTTGAAATTCTGCAGAAATAAACTGACAAAACAAACATTCTGATTTTGAACAATATTTACAGCAATCATTTTATTTTTGAAAAAATGTTTAATCCCCAAACCTGTTTTCCCACTTGAATACATTGGGAATTGCATAATGCAAAAATAGTGTTGTCCTTTTATTCAGCATTGAGAACCATTTACTTGTCGCACTAATGAAACGAGTGGCCATCTGTGTTATTATTGTCAATCAGTATATCCTGGTGAAGCTTTTCTATTTGGTTTATTGACACTGTAAATTGATAATTATCAGGTCTCTAGTGTCACTGTACTTCTATTGATGAAGTGATAAGCACTCAGCTCTCTTATCATACGCATTACTGTGTTAGTGAAATAATGGGGAACATGACATTTTCACACCACTGTGTTTATGTATTGATTAATTTTCTGGAAGTTTCCTAAACATGGATTATTTGCGCAGAATGGAGGTGTCTGGATTTACAGAGTTTCAATGTTTGAAAAACTGAAGTGAGTGGAGTGATGAGAAATTGATCCTGAATGTGTCTCGTGATATTGTTACTCTTTACATTATATCACTATGATGAATATTAACTGTGTTTGCTAGTCGGACTAGTCTGGAAATAAGGACAAAGATTACAACCAGATTGAAAACTGATTAGTTTTGTGTTCTTCTTTCTCATTTAGAAAATATTTCTCTACTGCATTAAAAACATCATCAGAAATATATACCGGTAGGTGTTCTTCATGGTTAGGTTGAGGAAGTATTGGGTGCTAGATTGTCAAAATATAAAGAACTTTTTATGTTTTGTCAGTTTTCAGATGTTTCATGTGGGTGAGAAATAGATTTTGCATTGAAATTTGTCAAAAGACTTAAGATGTTTTCACGCTGAATTTTTTCAAATATGCAAACAATTTACCCTTACTGAGATGTATATGAAAGCTGCAAATATTTTGTTAGAATTCATCTTTCCTCATGAAATTATTGATACCATAAGTCATATTTTGTTCTGAAGTTCAGCTTCTTTCACTGTATTTGTCGTATTGGGGGTGTTGAGGTAGCCCAGTGGTTAAAGCATTTGCTCATCAAGCAGAAAACGAGAGATTGATCCCATGGATATAATGTGTGAAGCCCTTTTCCCCTGCTTTTTTTTCCTTGCTGTAATATTGCTGGAATATATCTCAAAACATTGTAAAACCATACTCACTCACCACATTGGTCAATGTGGGCTACTTTCCTTTCTCACAGATTTGCAGGAGTGCTACAAGAGTTATTTCCCTTGATCTGTTTTGCTTTCATCCCAGAATGAACTGATGGATGCAGTGTAAAATATAACAACTTATCAGATTCTTTGTTGAGATAACATAGTAATTAGTTATGTGTGTTTATGTGAAACATTATTAATTATAAGTAACTGTCAGCAGATAGTATTGGCATAAAAATATTAACATGACATTTTTGGGGGGGGTCTGATAATTGATCATGTTGGTTATGGTGGTTTAGCCTCGTAGTTGCTGGTCACACTAGATGGTTTGATGTCTCATTGATGTAACTGGAGTGTGACGTGCTTATTTCTGGTGTTGCAGGCAGTGATATTGCTGAAATATAGCTAAAACTTGCATGAAAGCATTCTCATTTACTTGGTCATAATTGTTGTTTGATTTTTATGAAAGGGAGATAACTCTTCCATTCTTCACGGAAGCAAAATTCATTTTTTGAGTGAATGAATTGTATCTTGGGAAGGAGACAATTTCTATTTGAGTTGATTGTTTGGCGATTGACCGAGACTGATCTCTCACCATTTAAGCTATTTAACATGTTTTGTTTGTTATGAAGTCAACCCCTTCTATTCGAAATTGTGGTATCATCTCAGATTTATGTGAATAACAAACCCTTCAGTTTGAAAAACCTGTAACAATGTATCCAAATTATAATTGTAATTTATGCCAGTAGTCTAATATGCATATTTTGTATGTGACTGTTGAAAAGCTTTGGCTGTGTGTTTTGCATTACTAGTAATGATTTAGTCTCATTTCTCATGTTTTATTGCAAATGAAGTGGACAAATTTCTAGACAGTTGATCCAATTTAGTTATTTTTTCCCAAGTGAACAAACATATATTAATGTTTCTTTTCCCTCATTTATATGTCTTGTTAAAACTAGAAATGCAAGAAATTATCAACACTGTTTGCATCTGGTTTGTTTTACCAGTCAGTGATATCAGTTTACAGGGGCAGTGGGGTAGCCTAAATGGTAAAAGCGTCTGCTTGTCATGCTGAAGACCCGGTTTGATTCCCAACATTGGTACAATGTGTAGAACCCATTTCCGTTGTCCCCAAATATTGCTAAAAGTGCTGTAAAACCATACTCACTCAGTCATTCCATTTTACACTGTCTCAAAGTCATGAGCCAGAAATGTAAAAGAACTTACAGGAAAAGTTGAACAATTGCTGAAAAACATTTAAAACAAAAACATCATAGTTTTTGATGAATCAGCAGAATATTGTTCCTGGCTTGTGATGGCGTACATTAATCAAAGCCTGATATCAATAGATATAAAATTACAAACATTAGTTCAATAAATTCAACATCTACGAGTACCCCAAAGTTTCAGTAAACTGAATTTAATTCCCATACAACATTCATTCCACATGATTACACTCATGGTGACATAACTATTTAAAATAGAAAATGTGGCATTTTAGTTTTCAAATGTTCAACATGGTTTATAGTGCAGCTTGAAGAGGAAACAATTTGCATTTAAATTCAGAGATCTATTCTTGAGCATGAAGGAATTTGTGGACTCGTGTTCACTTGAAATGTCAATGACTGGGCAAGTTTTTTGCTGGGGGACTTGCATGTTTGGGGCCGTTTCTGGTGCCTGGGATGAGTGTCATCAGGAAATTCTATTTAAATGCCTCTGCACGAAGTGTGGGGATTGTTAATTGTTTGTTTAATGTTGTTTTCACAAGGTTTTTTAAGCTGAACGCATAGTGCAGATGTAATTTGTTAATCTGGTGCAGGATGCGTGACAGGAGAAGGAACTGGCAACATTCAAGAGGAAATAACACCTACTGCGGCAGATTGTCACTTTCGTTGGATTCTTGCTGGCAGTTAGAAGTATAAGTCTTTGAATAGTATTTAGACATGATACACATAAAGGCGAGAATTTATGGATGTCAACTTCTTTATTTTGAGGAAGACACTGTTTTGAGAAGACAATGTTTTGGAGTAAATTATTACTCCTCAATCAGGTGTTTGAAAAATTAGGAAGCAGATAGCTTCAACAGAAACAACAGTGATAAGATAACAACACTGGAAGCTAATAGTTATTTGGCACTGATGGTGATGGCAATGGACATAGAGAAGTCAGGGATTAATCCAGGCGCCAATGGTGGGGAGTTAGAAGTTGGTGTGATGAACAAGGGGGAGAGTTCTATGTATACAACTTTTTTCTTACAATATATGATACGTTCTGATGTCTATGTGTCTTGCTTGAAAAAGTAATGCTCTCTGGTCTTGAAATAATTTTATATCAGTTTATTTACTGCACTGGATCTCATTAGGCACTGGCAGTTGATTGACTCAATAATTTTTTTATAACTCATTAAGATGATTGGTTGAACTAGTTGGTAGACTCAGTTAGTTGTTGGGTTAACTGGTAGATTCACTGAATTAGTTGATTGGCTGAACTGATTGATTAGACTCAATCATTTGATTGGAGGAACTGGTAGATTTACTCAGTTGATTGGCTGAATGACTCAATTTTAGTCACTTTGTAGAACTGGTGAGCTAACTCAGTTTGTTTGACTGACTTAACTAGATGACTGACTTTAGTAGTAAATTGGCACAACTAGTTAATTGACTTAAAGTGGTGCCATCTTCATGCCCCTTTGCAGTCCCCCTTGTTTGTTGGTCGGCTGGCTCAAAACTAATGTTATACGTCAAAGTATTACTATGTTATGGATGCGTCTCATGTTCATGTTTGGAAGAGACAGCCTTACATCGAACACACGACCCAGTGGAAGGCAAACATCATCCAGAGTCGTATAACATTATGTATGAAGTCTGTACCAACACCAGGCTACTCCTCCCTCTGTGTTTGCCAACACTGTTTGACTAGCCAGGGCCA